GTGTAGATGCAAGTGGGGTGTGTTTATTTCAGCTGTGCTTTGAGGCTATGCTTTGAGTTCCCACACCCCCGCACATGCTCACCACACACACACACACACACACACACACACACACAGCTAAACAAAGTCAGTGATGTTGAGAAATAAACTCTCTGTGCCAAATGTCTTTTTTTTTTTTTTTGAGTCTTTGTAAATATCTAACTTCCTGTCTTTCTTCCCAGCCAATAGGAGGACTGGGAGGAGTTACCAGGCAACTGAATGATCCTGAACTCTATCAAATTAAAGTCGAAAGAGGATAAAGAGCTGATAATAAGATACAATTGAAAGACAGCGAAAGTAACACAGGAGGAAGCTGAGTTGAAAAAGAAGGGATGTTTTTGAACAATCATTCAGAGGTAAACATGACAATGCACTTATTAACTTTTTAGAAATTAGTCAGTTAATCTAAAGTTGCAATGCAATTAGTTTACAGAGTTGAAAGAAGAAAGAGTTGAGGAACATACTTCAGGTGAAGGCCAGGCCTTGTAGAGAGCTGGCTGTTGAGTACTTGCTAGAGTCCACAAATGTTTGATCTGGTTGAGAGAGGCAGGAATGGAGAAATGGTAAGAAACGGGTGACAGGTCAGAGGAATACAAAGGTTAGAAGTCAAGAGAGAGAAGGAGAAAAAAACAAACGTTAATCCAAACGGTGAAGTAGTACAAGAAGAAGAGTTGGATAAAATTGTTCATACGGTTTCTCACCAGAAAAAAAGACCCCTTAAAAGGCTTAAAACGGCCCATGTTTACATTTCCTTGTCTCATTACAGTCACTGGTTGGTTGCAAACCTCTTAATGTAAACATCCTGTGTTTACATTAAGAAGCAAATGTGGACATCACATGATGCTCATATATAATTTTGTAAAAAGTTCCATGAAGGAGGCGGGGACGGATGATTGGGCTTTCAAAGCACATGATCTAGAAACTAAAGATTGACTTCTGTGTCCTGTTTTCTTCCTCAACAGTCAACTTTGGCTTTAATAGTTAGAATTATTGTGACCATAGATGTGTCACAGAAACAATAAAATAAGTCCATTTTGATACACAAATACAGGCCTTTTTTTTGTATGAAATTTGAATTTTTCAGCATCATCATCATTCTTCTTTTAATTTCAACATCCCCACAATCTGTCCCCATCTAAAAGTCTGGCATAGAGTTGGTTAAGTGAGACCTTTGCTATGTGGATCATTTATTAGTAGAAGAGAATAGATTCATATAGGGGCCACCTTTTGATAATCTACATCTAGTGCCAACACGAGCCATTACTAGTTTACTCGCTGGTAAGTTTTATCAGTCAGTTTAACAAGCTATTTTAGTCATAAAATTAGAGATAATTTTACCCCAGAAAAAATAACAGCACAAGTTCACTACGTTCACTACCAGATCTTGTTTTCTGTTTCTTCTGTAGACTAACAAGACTGTAGCAATGCTAACGGCTCTGCAATTAGGCACAGCAGTACCTTTTAATTGTGAGCTAAATGCTATTGTAAGTTTTACATGCTGCTGTTTAGTTGGTGTAATTTGTAGGTGCAGTTAAACATCTTAACCCCCTGAACCCCAAACCTTGCCAACAACGTCAAAATTACACCATTTATCAGAGCCAGAAACTGTGAAAACAGAAAGAATTGCTGGATTTTCAACTTTCTGCAGGTCCAGGAACTACTCATCTGTGACATACTGTTCCATCAGAAAACTTGACCAACTCTATACTTAAAATTGTGATATTTAATCCAAAAACACTTTATTTTACATGTTTTATTTAAAACCTGTTCTTCCCCAAAATAAACAGTTTGCTCTAACAATATTCTTTTAAAAAAAACAACAAAAAAAAGAAACTTCTGAGCTCTTCAGTGCAACCATGAAGCCAAGAGTGACAAAGCTGTGACCAACATTCACACAACAAAAATTTAGAGTGTTTTGGCTGAACTAGACTGAACTGCAGGCTGTGCTTACACAGAGCAGACAAGAGACTAATATGAAAACACCGAGAGCAACACCGCACTCACACGCTCAACATTTCTGACTCCTCTTTACTTCTACCTATGGCTGTGCTGTTTCCATGCAGGTGCAGGACTTTATGTTGCAGTGAAATATTCGTGCACAGTGAGTAAAAAAAATGCCCCAAAGCTGCTTGGAATTTAGAGTGTTAATGTAGTGTGTTAGCATGCTGGTTTGTTAGTATTTTGTCAATTTCTCAAAGTATTAAATTAAGATTTTCACCAAATGGGGCTGCTAAATGAAACATTTGGAGAAAATCAAAGTTATTACAGTTCATCCTGAGCGAGGCGTGAATTTCTGCACCAAATTACGTTGCAATTCATTCAGTAACTTTGTGATATTTTACTAATAAACATTTAGTGACTTTGGTGAACATAGCAAAATGTAAAGGCAATCAAATATTTTTTCATGGTCCAAAGGGGGGGACTGATCTATAAACTAAAACATGGAGTGTATGTGTTACCATCTGATCAGGTACTGCGATAAGAGTGAGAGAAGTGAAACAACACAGACTGAAAACATTTGCAGAAAATTCACCAGAAGAGCAGAAACCTTCCTGAACGGATCTGCTGGGGAAATCCTCCCTCTAAGCATCATCTGATATACTGACATGGTAAATTACCTTGGAGCCCGTTGCCGTTGGCACTGGTGCAGGAGGGTGGAGGGGAGGAGGAGGGCCTGACCACCGGAGCGAAGGCCGACTTCTGCTTAACGGCCGCTGACACCATGTTGGCCGGAGAGAAGGAGAAGACACCAGAGGAGGAGGAGCAGTTGGAGGGAAGAGAGGTGGAGGAGGCCATGGTGGGACTGGAGGGGACAACTGGAGGAGAGGGAGAGGATTATTTTAGAGGAGAGGACAAAGAAAGAAAAAGATACGTAGAATAAGAAAAATCAGAGAAGAGGGTGGATTAAGGAAGGATTAAATGAAGAAAAGAGATAGAATTGCTTTATTAAACATCTAAACTAATGGTTTATTGTTTAATGTATTAAATGCGAACACGTTCCACTTTATCTGACACACGAAGAAGTGATACACAAAGATGTTGACGCAAAATGTTGTTAAATGTCACATTTGGGTGTAATATTTATGTGTTCAAATACTTTTGTCCATGAAATGCATTTTATAAAAGTAGATTAATATGTGCTTTATGAGAAGTGACACCACAAGTGTATTCTTCACAAATGTTGGCATCTTTATCCACCTTCATCATCATCAAACTTTAAGCAAACAACAAAAAAAAAAAATCTCGCATCTCTCTGTTTTGCTCTTTCCTTTCCTCCCTTCCTCTCACTTCTGTCTTCCTTTCTAGCTAAATGGAAATAGGACGCAATTAACCAACAGACAGAGAAGAGGTGTGGCTGTCAGATAAAAGGCAGCGAAGGGAAGGAGGGAGGAGATGGACGGAGGACAAAATGCAACTACGAGCTGCGAGTCGGTGATTGTTTTTGAAGACACTGCGACAGAAAGCCCCATGGGGGAATCTCCACACAGCAGATCTGAGAGTTTCACTTTCTGTCCGCGGATATTTTGACTGTGTGTGTGGCTGAGTGTGTGTTTGTATGTTGCACAACTCTGTTTTCATCTGGGTGTGTACGTACAGTAGGTATGTAGGCAGTGTGTACGACCTGTAATTAAAGCTATACAAGCCCATTTAAAGTAGCTTGTTTATTGAGTGAATGTGCTCAGATCCACTTACTGGCATAAGGCGAGTTGGCTGCGGAGCCATTAAGGAAAGTGGGCGAGCCTCCCAGGTTGGTCATGCCGGTGTTGTTGGCGTAGCCGTTCATGGTGCTGGTGACTGAGGTGTAACTGGTCTGCTGAGGCGTGGTGCTGGGGACGTAACCGTGAGGCGACACACTACTGCTGCTGCGCACAAAACCTGCAGGGAATGTAGTGTAGAAGAAGAAGAAGTGTAGGACAGTTGAGCAAAGCGATGGAATTACAGATCATTTCTCTTGAAGTTCTGCACAGGTTAACACTAGAAATTTCTATGAAACAGTGGTTCACATTTCCTGGTTGCAGAAATGAAATTTGCTGTACAGAAACTGCACAGACTAAACACTATAAAGGAACAGTGGGAGCATAAAGTATGTTGTGGCTAATAGATGAAAGAATAAATGGGCTTTTATTCAAAAACCAACAAGTTATAAGGTTTCATACTAACAAAGACTTCAGAGTAACTGCAAACCTTGACCAGGCTTTAAACAACATGCCATCAGAGGAAAGCCATTTAAGAAACACGTTACAGAATTTACTGTTTTGGCTCATCCAAACATCTACATGCAGTTTCTCCAGCAAGATCTCACCTTTGATTATAACATTTATCATCTCAAATCCGGACAGCTTATTTGTAAATGTCTTAAACAATACAGAATGCAAATTACATGTGTTTTACTTTAATGATGGTACTTGGTATAATGTCCCTAGAAACACAGACGAGTGACAAATTAAAGGAAAAAACAACATAAATTGTAAGGTGCTGGGCCAAAACATGCCACCAGAACAGCTTTGGTGCTTTGTGGCATTGATTCTCAGAGTCTATAGAAACTCTACTGGAGGAAGGAATGCCATTCCTCCAAAAGATATTTCCTTGTTTGGTGTTTTGATGATGCTGACGGAGAATCCTGTCTAACCCGTCGGTGCAAAGTCTGACTTAATCTTTAGTTAGCTTGAAATCTAGTGGCTGTCAAAGCTGTATGTGATAATCATCAAACCATTCAGTGACCCCTTGTGTCCAGGAGATAGGGACATTGTCTTCCTGGAAGAGACCACTCCCATTGGGGTAGAAATGTGTCATCAGAGCATAAAGGTGATCCCTCAGAACAACTTTCTACTAATTTGCAGTCATTGTTCTGTCTAAGGGGACAATTGGACACAAACCATGTTGCAAAATGTCCCACACAGCACATTGCAGTAGGGTTCAGGTTTTTCCTCTAATTTGCCACTCATCTCTAGGTTAAAGCACTAGCTTTAAGCAATGTGTGTAACATACAGTTAAATCCTAAATAACCAAGACACAAAGACATCAATGCTGTTTCCTTTCAAGTAGAAAAGTATGTTATACCGTAATGTGATGTATATTTGATGACGATTAGCACACGATATGATGATAAATGTTCTAAAGTCTCACCTTGATTGGCTTGTGAGGGTTCAGAGACGTTGACGGACAGCTGCCCTGTGAAGGAGTTGACTCCCATCATGCCGGAGTGGGTCGAGCCAGAGAGCTGAGTGTGTCCTCGTGGAACGCTGTAGAGAGCTTCTGCAATGTCTGCTGCACGTTTCAGGATGATCTCCTGCACAGAAGACGAAGAACACAGTTAGGAATAAGCTCAAAAGTGCTGCTTTTGTACTTCTTGCTTGTTCCAGACAGACACTTACCTGGTTATTGTGAGGCAAGCCGTAGAGGGCTTCTACCAGGTCAGCCGCTCTCTTCAGAATAACCTCCTAAAACAAACAGAGAGTAAAGGTCAAGATGGCAGCATTCATAACAGTTAATCACATCTATTGTAGCCTTCTTGTACTATTTTTTTTTTTTTTTTTCGCGCTTTGCTTTTGTGAGAGTGTGAAAAAACATTCACTTAAAATTCAGCTTTAAGCCAGACTGAGCGCTACACACACATATAAAGGCGGACCAACTATTCCACTTTCAGGAAAAAAATCACACATAAAAGTTATATTAAGAAAAAAAAAAAGCACATATACAATCCTTCTTCCCCTCAACACACCATCAGCCAGAATCCATTTCACCATCTACTCATGATAAACAAATTGCTCTTCGCTCCTTTTAAAGGCAGATTATCTGCTGTCAAGTCAAGTGCTTTTATGCGTCTGTGTGTCTTAATGACATCTTAAAGTGACAGGTATTTAAAATGTACTCCAAAGCCAATCTCAAGTGCTCTGCAGGCTCTTCAGCTCTGCGTTGCTGCTCGAGTCAGTGATCCGGTGAGAGCAGTTCTGATCCTGAGCTGCTCTGTTGCTGCAACCAGACAATGTTTCATGTTTACACAGGTGATATTTCAAGCTTATAATATTAAATTCAGCATTAGCAAAGGTGAGCAAATACAGAAGAAGATGTCATGGTTTGTAAGTTAGGGCTTCTAGTTTAGTTTTAATTTATTCCTGTGTTGCCTCCTTATCCACCTGTTTGTCCTTGTGTTCCTCATCTTGCATTTGCTTCATGCAGTTAGTTTTTTATGCACTTTTTGCTTCTTAGCCTGCCAGTTTTCATGTTTTCATGGATTATGTTGTATTTTTACGACTGATTTCTTTACATATGGATTTATTTTGCCCTGGATTACCAGCTGTCCTGTGCTACTTTATCCTTGTTCAGTTTTATGTTTTCTTGATTAAAGATTTGTCTTTTTATTACCACAACCTGTTAGCTGTTTGTAAATGACTTACACTTGGGTCCTTATCTGGACACTCCATGATGGAAGGTTTGGATTTAGCTCAGAGTTCTCTCATTTTTATCCAGTTATTCACATCAGTTATTCCTCAATTTGGTGTTTTTGACATTCATCTCAGTCTTTTCCTCCATCCTCCTCCTCCTCCTCATTTGCTTTCCTGATCCATTTTCACCTTTTCTCCTCCACGCTGGGATTTGTCCTCCTCATCTTCCCCACCCAACCTAACCCTCCTCCAACTCCCTTTATTGTTTCCTCCTTCTCTTCCTCACCCGCCCACCCTCTCGGTTTTCTCTCCCCTCTTTCTCTCGGCGCCCACCCCGGGGTCTAAGGTGTCTTGTTTAACAGTTAATGTGTTGTCGTTTCCACAGCGTGAGGCTGCCCGGCGACAGACAGAAAATTACTCTGTGCTTCACAGTATTAACCTGCGCTGTGTGACACGCTCGCACACACACTTATGTTTGGCTGCATGTGCTGCTCTCCTGTGAGTTTGAACATATTGCCTCTCCGTCAGTGTGTGTGAGGATATGAGAGGTCACAGAGCCAGTCAGCAGTTTTAGTGTGCCTGTCCACGGTGCTAAATTCAATCTTTTACACATTATTATGGCCAGGCTGGCTCTCTGTTAACCTCTCATTATTAGACTGGTGAGCTGAGCCACTCACACACTCGCACGGAAACCTGATCCTGAATGTTTGAGTGGTTCCAGTAAGGCCAGTAGCTGATAAACGGGAAGGAAAGATGATCCGCTGGTAACATCATCATTATCAGGTCTGCAGGCTTCTGCTGCTACATCACTCAAAGCCTCTGACTGTTGGAATCGATACACTTTGAATACTTTTTCTGTTTCTGCCTCTCATATTTAGACACACAGATATTTCCATCACCTAATTTATCTCTGTTGTGTTTGTCCATTACTAAGAAAGACGCTTTACTTCCTGCCTGATACAGATGAACATCCATCTGCACCGTGTTGATTGGAATGAGATTAACAAGGTTTCTGCTGGTTTCGTTGGCATTATTTGTGTTCCAAAACTGATTTAAAAAGTCTGAAATTTTCCAGCTTTGATGTTCCAAGGGCCTCGACTTTTGTCAGCAGGACAGCCTGCAGCAACCAATTGATTTCGATGTCAAAACCAAAGTTGTTTTTAAGCTCTTTTTGGTGAAATTGAGGACTAAGTATATATTTCAGGCAAAGACTGAAACTGGTGGAGTTGCATGATTGTTCAAATGTGATCATTTTCAAAAGAAGTCTGTATCTTGAATGAACTGGGATACAGTTGAAAAATGAAGTTGTTTTACAGCTGTCAGTTACAAACTAAACTAAAAGAGCACTTAGAGAGCAGGTCCTCCACCAAAGTCAATGATCTAGCTTGCAATTTTATGAAAAGGATTCTGGATCTGCACCAAAATTTAATGGATTCCTCCAGTGCCAGTGCACCACTTCCCTACCAAGTTTCAGGAAGTTCGGCTGGGCAGTTTTTGTATAATCCTGCTGACAAACAAACAAACAAACAGCACTATTCACATATCTCCATCTCAGTTCTTGCCTTGTCGGAAGAATATGACCCTTGCCTTTTCTGGAGCTTTTAGCTTTATCTCATGGTCTTCATTTTTAAATAAAGTTGGTTCTGTAAGTTACTTCAAGTTATGATTTAGCGAATAAGTGGACTTTTAATCAGGATGATTTTGTCAAATTTAGATGTTTTTGACATGCAAATCACCAAATGAGTGCCTACTAAGGTGTGTTGGGATCAACCTTGTCTTCATATTTCTGTCCATCACCTGCTGTCTACGTTTGCTGTTGATACGGATAAATTATGACAAGAGTGACGGAAACTGTCTCTGAAATGACTCATTTGTAATCACAGATCCCATTTTCTTTGTTTACTATAATTTCTGCAATAAAGACAGATTTTTAAAGCTTTCATCTTCGCTTGATTTATGTGATCGGCCTACATTTCATCTGTTGTCAAGTATTTATGGAATATATACCTGACATGTACTTGTCTGTCATTTCATTTTTGTGCCTTGTCAGTCTTGAAAAATAATTTTTATTTGGAAGAAGGCCATCTGATTGAATGAAGATTCAAGTTCTCGATTGAGTTCATATAACTCCACACTTTCTAAAACTTTAGTATACTCTATTTCTGTCTGCTTCAGGTAAATATAAAGACAATCTGGTTGACAGAGAAGCAGGAGGTGAGTCGAAGAAAACGCAGATCTGTTGGAAAAGAGAAAGAATAACAGGAGGTGTCTCGGTGCTTTTACTGTCTGAGTTATGACTACCACTAATGTGATAACCATACATTACACACACACATGTTGTATGCATTAGGACCAGGAAATGCTGAGCTGAGTATCCGTGGGGTCAGATTGTGTGTGTAACGTGCGTGTGGCGCGACACACACATGACTTATTCCTCCCTAATGCTGCCACATTAGCTGCTTGATCCGCTTCTAATGTGCCATTAGGGATGCCGTACATGCAGGGTCACACCTCGCACAGAGATGATGTCATGCTTTACGTGGAGGCTCACTGGGATGTTGGGCGCAATCGCACACATGCTATCGACATGCTGGCGCGCACACACATCCTTTGGGGAACATCTTCTCTGACTGAAGCGTTGTGAGATAGCGTCAGGATGTGCAGTTTCGGATTTCATGCGATGTCGATATCGGCGTGTGGATTTAAGTGTATGAATGAATGCGTGACACACTCGTACATTGAGTAGTTTCATGTGTGTCTCTTCAGGATTACTCATGTTGGTGATGCTGATGACATGACCTCAGTTATGTATGATATCATCACAATGAGTTGCATTGCGATGTCAGCTGAGTGAGTCACCGAAGGAAGTCGCTGTTCTTAGGAGGGTGACAAACACTGGACAACCTTTCCACCCTGGACGCCCAACTTCAAACACACAGAGACTTGCTCATGCTGAATAACCACCACCACTGTGAACTACAATTCAGCATAACAACACGCTGATGCATAAATATCCCAGGATTTAGCATAATCTGGTAAAAACTAAATGAAAGACACTAGTCAGTCACTCACATAGAATTTGTCTGCAGAAACTGCAGGTTAGTGTGTGTTTTGCACGAAAATGCACTAATTCTCCAGTTCAGTGACATTAAACCATTGCAGGAGAAGCAGATGCAACAAGATGGCACAATAAAAACAGTGCAAGTTAACTATAAAGCATTGATAAACAATGTGGATAACATGATAGACGTGTGGCATTTTGGTAATGTCATGTATTTATTTAAGGAACACTACAGTCTCTTTAAAATCTGATGTTTTTCTCTCCTATTTATATTTTCCAAGCTTCATGTGCTTCATAATTTATCTGTTTAATCTGTTTCCTTTGTACTTTACATTGTACAAATCATATGATAGCTCATCTTATTTGAATTTCTGGAACTCGAGCAGGTAATTCAGGGGACCTCGTTTTAATGAGCTGTGTTGACATAATAACAACTGGTAATTACACCAACTCAATTACCTGTGTAATTTAAACTAAAAATACTGATGTTATTTAATTAAAAATGAAATTGAAGTTGTAATAAATTAATTAAATTGGCTTCATAACATTTTTTCTACCTTAAGTTTGGTATTTCAAATCAATAAAACTGAAAAATGTGTGTTTATGTTACCAATTATTAGGTAAGTGGAAGTTTGAGCATATCATTAATCGTACAGGAAAGAGTATTTGCACTTACTCAATGTAATCAGTTGTCATAATTTAGAAAGATTGATGCAAACTTTTTATGTTGTTGAGAATAAACCTTTGTTTTCAGAGTGTATTTCCAATCAGACTTTTTTTTAAATGTGCAAATTGAAACTTTACATAAAGGTGGATGAAAACTATAAACCCAGATTAGACAAATACTGACATCATCTGGGCTCATAAGGGCTGAAGATAAAGGCTCCATGTATTCTGCACAGAGATATCACCTTTTATTCATTCAGCTTTATAAAACATTTTAAAACCTTAGAGGACCCTTACTTTGTTTTAGTGTAGTTTTCCTTCCAGCGCTTTTCTGCAGCAGTGAAGAAGGTTGATTCATTTCTTTGTGTATCTAAAGAGACATTTCTGCCTCTCGCTCTCTTGGCCAGTCGCCCACACAGATGATTAGCAGTAGATCAGTGTATAAACTGTTTTATAGCAAGATTTAGCTCTTGATTATGAAACATTTTCACTTCATGAATTTTTTAAACGGATTCGATGGAGTCAAGATTCTTACATTCTGAACATTTTCGCTCGTGAGCAAAGTCTATATTTGATGTAGCGTTCTCATTACTTTGATAGCTCTCAATAAAACCAGGTTAATCTGAAATAAAAACGACAAACACTACAGAAAAGTCCCAGACTCTCTACAAGGGAAATGCAGAAGTTGCGGACGGTTAAATACAATTTCACTGTACTTTTGAATGAGAAAGTGAAAGCAAAGCTTCTGTGTATTCAGGATTCACTGTTCTTATGTACAGTTACTATATGTGCACATATGGATGGATGCTGAAGAGATCACAGAGACACAAACTGGCAGCTGAATACTGGTGTGTGTGTGCGTGTGTGTGTGTGTGTGTGTGTGTAGCCGGCAAAATCCCCTGAATGTTCACTGAACAATTATAGAATCGGCTGTCCACTGGTAATCCTTTCACACACTCCACTGCTCCGTCTGTCTGTCTGCCTGTCTGTCTGTCTCCTCTACACTGCTGGCAACAAACTCTTATAACTTCAATAAATGGGCTGATCGATACTTAAGACGAGCGGCTGTGTGTGTGCGTGTGTGTGTGTGTGTGTGTGTGTGTGTGTTGCCAAACTAAACACCCCAGTATATTCCACCACCCACCTATATCAGCACACGCCGACATTTTAACCTTCAAAAGCAAAAGAATATTTTCACGTTGCTCCTAAACGCATCCAAATAACACAGATAAGACACGTGCAATCTCTCTCTTCCTTTCTCACACAAACACACAGTGACTGCTGGTGGGCAGCAGTAATAAAGTCTTGGGTTTGATCGACCACAAGGCTACACAATGATGAATTACCCAGCAATGCAAACACACACACACACACACACAGAAACAGATACAAGCATGTAAGAGGAACCTTGTTCTAAACTGAGAACATCTACAGTACAACACAGCTAGCATCAAATGAAAGCACAGCTGTCCAACTTAGGGTCACGTGTTCAGGGAAAGCTTCAGTTTAAAAGCTTTCTGTCGTCAGAACCAAGGAGCTGTTTTTTGTGAATTAGCTCCACGGTTGCTGTTAGGCTCGGAGGAATGCAGGACGGACCGGAGATCATCGACGCAGAGGCAGTGAGAGATGAGTTGAGACGAATTGTGGTGATAAAGTGGGATTACAGACTTGTTTCTCCTGGATCCTTTGTCATTCACTGGCCGCCGGTTCCAATTTCAAATGCAAACCGTTTTCAAGGTTTTTCATCTTGTGTGCTATGACTGAAAAAACAGTGACATGTCTCTTTGTGTGAACTTGTTATCTTATATCTCAGTTCCCATGATCCAGAAGAACTCAGTCTGCATCTCATCACAAGGGAAAAGTTACTCCCTGTTTGGCTCTGATTAATCTGTGTGTCATCCACGGGTTCAATCTGATACCTGATCAATGCGTCCAGCTACTCTGGTTGCATCTGCAGCAGCTTGACTGTTCTCATTGTAGCTTTGCCTGGAAATATCTTGTGTGACATCATGTTGCCTATAATAAGCTTGACCGGCTCTCCATGGGAGCAAAAACAAAAAAGCATGATCATATAAAACAGGCCTCAAAAAACTAAGTGCCAATGTTGCTTTAATAGTGCAAAGTGCTTTATGGTGGATTGGGGTCAGAAGTGATATCAATTTTGGTTCTTGAGACATTTATGGACCTATTTATTTCCAATAATGTGCTCGTTTGTTTTATTCCACAAACATGAGCCACTAAAGAAAATATGTTGACTGCAGCTGACTGCAGAACCGATGCAGTAAACACTAATTAATTTGTTATGTAGAGTATTTTGGCATTGAGGAATGCACATGAAGTGTACGTACAAATTTCAGGCAAATCAACAAATATTGCTAATTAGCTAAGCAGCGACTTTTTCCACACTCTTGACATGTTTCACGGAAACATCCAGCTCAAAATACACATCTGACCTGCTCAGCTCAAATTATCCAAAAAGAAGTGTGAAGATAAGGCTCATAATTTATGTTCCCTTTACATTAAAGCAGAAACACAAACAGAAGAAAATGCAGAAACAGTGCATATTCTGTGTTAATAAGTTGTGTATCATACTCACACATCATGCAGATTGTGTGTTTGCGTGCATGTTTATGCATGAAAAGATGACTCTGGTCTGACTCAGACTTTACCAGAAGGTGGAACTAACATCACTTATGATATCACACGCTTCAGGTTGCGAACCTCATTTCCAGCACCGGTTTTTCTGCAGCTCTCATTGCATTTATTGTAAGTTGAAACAGGACAGGCCTGCTCGCGGAGAAAAGCTTTTAAAAGAGTTAAATCAACACTGAAGGCTTGACGACTTCATTCCTTCACTCCATCAGCGACTCCAGCAGCGCTTTGAAAAATTTATGCCGTATTTGTGTTAGACTTAGAAAAAATAAATACACTTTCAATCTGCAGAGTGCACATTAACAACAAATGGAGCATAGATGTTAAATTACCCCAAATTGTTCAATGTCTACAACATTGCATTTTTAAAACTCTATTCTTCCTCTTGTGGGAAACACTTGGAGCAAATAAGAAATGACTCCCATGTTCCAGGGGAGTGACTGGAAGCAGTGATCTTAATACCAGCACACTGTCAAGGTTTTGTTTTTTTATACCTTTTATCTATGAAAATGAAACTCTCAGACCTTCCCTGATACAAGACATGGGATTCCATGGATGTATTTTTACAATATAAAGCTGGGGCTTTGAAAATAAAACTCCACTTGTGTCCTAAAACGTGCCTACTTTAGGTGTATCCCTTCAAAGCAAAAGCAAAACTGAACTGAAAGAGACAACTGGAACAGATTTTAATGAAGGTTATATGCCTGCTGTGGTCAACTGTTCTCCCAGTTTATTATTTCAAAACAACAGGTAAAACTGTCAGTACTTGAGGTAGGGAAAGAGTATGATTGTGGGTTCAAGTATTTGTAGGGTGTAATTCCATATCTATGATGAGATTTAAACTCCTGTCAGATGTGCTGCAACACCATCGACCAGCCTGAGCATCTTACTTTTATATAATTTACTACATAAAATATCACTTCAAGGACAATCGTCATGATCTCTGGCACCCCTAAAGGTTGTGTACTTAGTCCCATGCTGTTCTCATTATACACCCAAGACTGTGTTGCCAGAAATGTGAATATTTCAAGTTCTCAAGTCACATTGCACATATGCTTTTTAAAATTTTTTTTACATTGCTTCTTCTGCACATGCACTGAATTTTAGCCATGAACAGTACTGTGAATGATATATTCTTGTATATTCCTATTTGTTACCTCAATATGTATGACTAGATGATAGTGTGTCTGAATTTGTGTATTCTGTAAATTGGTTAATCACAGCGTTAGGTGGAGAATTTCATTGCACTAATAACTGGTTTACGACTGCATATGACAATTAAGCCTTTGAATCCTTGAGTTCTTTTAAAAGGCAAACTATTTCCTGCTTTGGCCCTGAATGCTGGCAACGTATGTGAACTCTGAGCTATGGAATCATCCAGTTATCACTGAGGTACTTCGACAGAAATGAATCATTTCCTACCTATTCATTAATCACAACCTTGTACTGAGTTGGATCAGACCAGCTGAACAAACCGTAATATGTGTAACACTCTATGAAAGCCTTCTTTTAAAACTTAACACGAAGGTCCTTGCATTAGCAGCAAATGAGGCAGCAGCAACCTTTATGTTCATCATTCTGTTCACTCTGATTTCAAACTTGACTCCAGGCTTCATCTCAGTTTTTTAGGCGACTATGAGGTCATTATAGTTTGATGCTAACGAACAACATGTACGATAATATACAACGCAGTTTACAATAAACAAGCGAAAGTAATGAATTCACAGACGTCACACACATTTTAGGTGCGAAGTTTGTTTATGTGATGTATTGAACACGTTCCCACGGTGATTACACGTGATTGCTAACACATGTGCAGGATGCAGAGTGCTGGCACAGCCGTGATGACATCACAGCATCGCCTCATCATCACGACCAGCGCCCGATCTTTGATGATGACACAGCAAAGACTGTCGCTCCTGGATGGGCTCCAGGGTTAACGGCGAGCCAATCAACAGCAGCTGTTTACGAGGTCGTGACCTCCCCGCCCTTCCCAGATACGCAAAAGTCAAAATTTGAACCAGGTCACCAGCGCGGTGAGCTCACGAAACACAAGCGCACACTTTGAGGAAAAGTCATCCCGCATGTTGCGGATCAAGATGACAGAGTTCGGTATCAAAGCCCAGCTCATCGTTTGGTGCTAATTGTTTACATCTGCTCATCTTTTAAACGTGCTGCTTGATCTGTGGCTGATAAACAAATAATCAGATATGACTCTGTGATCTGGAAAAGACTCAAACGCTCACCCTGTAAACGGAGGTTAAGCAGCTCACACACACAGAGTTCACCGAGAGGTAAAAGCACAACCCACAGGAGATTTGAAAACACATATTCTGCTTGGAAATATAAAAATAACACATGCAGAACAAACAAATAAAACATAAATGCAAAATTTCTGACTTTATATGTGTGTGTACCTCTGCAGGCTTTGATAGCAAAACAACTCAGTGTAGCTCAACGTAACTAAGAAATTGCATCTTTGTAGAGCGACAGTAGTTGTCTTTTTGAAGTGTCCCTGAGCGAGAGGTACATCTTGCTTATTTGTTGTCTCGTTAAGGCGTTGGACAAGTTTGTAAAAAGGAGAACATAGATCGTTTTGGTACCTTTGGCAGCCTCTCGGGGTCGCCAGGGTGCCGAGGGATGACCTTCTGGAGCCTCTGGAAGCCATAGTCGATTGTTGGTTCATTCAATGCTGCAGAAGACAGAAAGAAACAGGAAGAAGGGGGATGAGTAAAATGGAAACTACCCGAAAATAAAAACAGCCCACACTCAATTTTGACATCATGTTGCACTTGTGTGTATAGTTGGAAACTTTTCCAAAACTAGTAGTCCATTGGTCAAATCTTCTCCAACATTACATCTGCAAAAAATTATTTTTTGGCCAATCAGGGCACAAACAAGCTGCGGACACAATATTACACATGATTTTGATAAAGATGCCAAGCAGCATTATTATTTCCTACAAGCTGTGTTTCATATTCGCTCTCCTTATAGCTCTGTCTTGGCCTCCACCAACTCCTTAAAAAAAAACAAAAAAACAAAAAAACAATCAGCCTCCTCAGCTACTAAATGTTCAGCTGTTGGTTGCTACCTTTGTCTTTCTGCTGTTTGGAGCGGAGCAGGTGGTTAACACATGTACAGAGTTTTTTTTGGCTGTAAATAGCTGCCTGCTGTATCTTTAAACAACACAGATGAGAGAGGTGAAGCTGAACCAAAACAATAAAGCTGCTGAACTCTATAGGAAGAGGCAACCACAGAGTCAGGTGGCGATTCTCAGTGGGTCAATCACAATAAGAAGCCAGCTTTTTAATATAAATTATTGATTATAGCCACTTGAAGACACTTTTTATTTTTATTTTTACTATCCCACATGCTTCATGTTACAAAGAAGAAAAAAAGATGTTACGGTTTTTTCGTCTCTCGCTTCTTTCTGCCAGGATAAACATGTATGACAAGATTTTCCATCAGCCTTCCACTATTTCCAACATCTGCTACTTTTAGATACTTGGTTGGTTTTCCATCCTTAACCTTTTTTATGGTCCAAAGCAACCTCGCTGATTTCCAGCAAAATCCCATTGGTGCCATATATTGTAAAGTGTAGTGCGAGAAGAGGCGAGCCAATGAGAGGAAAAAACAGAGCTGACTCGCAGAAAAGCAGCGGATTTCCTGCAGGATTTGCATCTAGGTAGATTTACATCTACCTATTTTTGGATGCATAATCTCACAAACTTCTCACTATTCATGCCTCAGCTGATTAACGCCTCAATCAACTGTCTTGTTTTCAAGCTTCACTATCTTTAATATGGATATAATGTGGTGCTAAAATGTTTTTGTTGCACCTTTAAAGCTGTTGCAGCTGGTGTTCATCCTGAGAGTGCCTACATGATAAAGAGATGCAGAATCACAACATCTGTGGCAGTCAGCGGGGGGATTCAACTGGTGAAGAGACAGGATGACATCCCATTTTGTGACATTTTGTTCCCAAGCACCACGCTGGTATCGAGTCATTTTTTCCCCCCCTAAAACCGGGTTGGAAAATAATGAACCTGCTCAGCGTGATCTCTACGAGCCGACAGAAGCCTGGAGGTTACAGAGGCAGGCTTGTGACTGAAAGGTCGGCAGTTCAAAATCTGGCTGGGAAACTGTAACTGAGGAAAGCACAGCGCTCAACAACAACCGTGGTGATTCCCTTAAAGCTGAACACTTAAAGTACTCGATTTCAGATTTAACAATTTATCATTTTCCTTCATGAAGAAGAGGTGCAGCAGTAAACTGGAATATTGCTTCTCACGAAAACAAGCATGGGTGTCATTCAAACACACTTGTGTATGTGTTTCTGTTGTACTTTCCACTAGGAAGCTGATCTATCAACATAAATGAGCCTGACTTTGACGAGGTGGACAATGATATTTGCACTGATCAGCCACAACGTTAAAACCACTGACGGGTGGAGTGAATGACATCGATCGTCTTGTTATATTGCAATCGTCTGTGTTCATGTGGATGCTACTTAGACACCTTGTACCACCCATTTAAACATCGTTGCAGAACAAGCACAGCTCCCACGGTAAAAAGCGCTTCCCCACACCATAAAAGCTGCTTAGAACAGCTCGAGGAACACAACAAAGAGATCAAGGCGTTGACTCAGCGTCTTAACCCTAGAGCTCGCATCCAGGGAAGGCGCTGAAAAAGCCTAATCCATGGAGGCCCCATCCTGCAACCCACAAGTCCCGGTGCCACACACCAAAAGACACCACTAGAAGTCCAATGTCCATCCCCGACAGGTCAGAACTGTTTTGGTGGTATGAAGAGGAGCTACACAACATTTGGTAGTTGCTTTTAAAGTTGTGGCTGATTGATGTAGAGTCCTATGATCTGCTAAAAGCTCGCTCATGGAACCTAGCGGTGGTAGTCTGTTTGTCAGCCTGCAAAAATGTACTCCACTTTGGTTGCCAGCTGTCAAAAAGCTAAGTTCACCCAAGTTACAAAAAACATATTTTCTTTCTTCCAGATAGTTTTGGTTTTATTTGTTCAGATTTTTACATAAACATCTGTGAAGCAGATACAAGGGAGAGAATTTCATTTAATTTTGCTTTTCAAAGCACTGGAAAAAAATTCTAATATTCTGAACGATGTTTACTATTGACAAGTTAGGGAATCCGTTTGCAGAAATGTCTAACAGTTAACCTGAGTGACTGGGACATTTAGTTTCTGTAAACAGTCTCTGCTTTTACATCTTCATTTAGAATTTTCAGTGCTTTGGATTGCAGAAGTACATTTTTGTCACCTTCGCTATGTAAGGATTGATGTCAACACCGAAATGAATAAAAAAAAAGAAATTCTGTACACTCTTAAACACGACCAGAGGTCAGTGAAGACATAATTCAGGAGAGATGACTCTTTCAACAATGTCACATTCTGACACTGATGTTAGACTGTCGGTATGAGCTGTAGCAGCGCTGTGATGGAGTGCAGACGGTTAAATGCTACATGAAAATGTGCAGAGATAGATCGACACAGTGGAGTACCTAATGGTGTCAAAAGCATTTGTATGATAATAACACCGCAGGTATAATCTAAAGGGTTTTAAAGAACGCTTAGCATTCACTTTAATGTTCCTCTACAGTCTTTATCCAATCAATATGTCAATCAAGTCGAGCTCTGAAAGCTCTGTCAGTCAGAATGACGATTTACAGGATTTTGCGTGTGTGTCTGCATGTGTGTTTTGTATGAGCTGAACATGTGTCTTCACCCCGTTGTTGAACCCTGTGTGTTTACCGCATGTGTGTGTGTGTGAGGCAGAAGGAGGAAGGAATAAGAGAAGAGGTGGAGAGGCTCTGCTACATGTAGACGTAGGTGTGGGCTGCAGAGGGTGTGTGTGCACGATGTCCAAGTGTGCAGCTGCAGTGATATCTGGTACTTTCCACATCCAGCGCTGATAAATTACTTGCAGCTGAACGCCTCGTGTTGTTTTGTAGTTTCTTTAAGCGTGTGTGTGTGTTTTAGATATATGTCTGTTTTATTATCACATCACACCCAAGTTTCTGGTTTCTGTTATGTCCTAAAGCACTCAATTTGTTAGCAACATAACTTCATAAATTGTGAGCTGTAAAAATTCCAGATGTTAAACTGTCATGGACAATACTTCCCCCCTGCTCCAAGGAAACATTCTGGACAAATTACGATTTTATGATTCATAACTATGTGAACATGATTGAGTGGTCTGGAAGGTGGTGGGTCAAGGAGAAGAGAGCAAGAAAAGAAAAAAAGCAGGGGGAAAGAAAAGTGATGAGAAACAAAGAGGTGAGAGGAGAAGAGAGCGGTGTGCAAAACCATCCAAACAAAAAGAAAGACAGAAAAAACTAAACTCAGTCATGGTTGAGAAAAACAAAAAATTACAAAAACAGCTGCCTAACAGTCGGTGGGATATCAACTGTCAGAATTAACTGCCAGTGTCAGATCTACACTCTCTGTGCATCTCTGGAGACGTTTAACCGATGCCAACACTAATATAACACACACACATGCACACATATACACAACAGGATGACTTAAAGTGGTTTCAGCGCCTTGGGCCTAAAGTATCTCCAACTGACTCTTTATTAATAGAACAATATGTTTCATAAAAAGCCGACTGATGTGTTCTTATGGATTTGTGTAGGTCTGCGTGCATGTTGTCTGTTTGTGCATGCCGAGGCCAAAAGGTCAGGTTTCCCCAAACGATTTCTTCGGCGGTTTTCTTTCCGCACAGACACAGAAATAGTATCAGTGCAGCAGAAGTCGTCCGATTGATTACACGTCAGCGTTAAAAGGCATCAGCTGAGGTGCACCCGCCATAGAAACACTGACACCCACAAGCACCGAAACGCGGCGGAGGTCTCGAGTCTCCGGTTTTGATTGGGAATGCCTGTTTTCCAAGCATGAGGAGTGAAGTGTCTCCTACAAATACACGCCTTTTATTATCATCCAGCAAGTTCCGCTGTTGCTAAACGCCACAAATGTCCACAGATATGTTGTCTCAGCTGCAAACCAACAAGGACACTTGAGCAGATGTGATGATTTGGAGGCTTGAACCTGTTTCATGTTGACAAATTCTGCCACCCTCAGCCATCTCAGCATGAATCCCTCCTCCTCCTCCTCCTCTTCTGCTTCATCTCCCTCCTCTTTCTTAACTACACCTTCTGCTACTTTCATCCATCCATCCTTTCTTCCATCACTCCTCCTCCTCCTCCTCCTCCAGCCTTCCTCTCAGAGTCCAGAGCTGCCATCAGATCAATACTCATTGAAGTTTCATGAGGACAGACCATCCACTCCTGTTTCACAATAAAATGTGAACAGAGGAGGGAGACAGAAGAAAACGAAGAGTGGGGGGAAGTGGCGAAGAGTGAACAAATAATGAAAGCTATATGTCTCCAATTTCTTATGTGCATTTATTATACAGTGGTGATGTTTTTTTCCAGTTATCTTTTAGTGGTGTTTAAAAGAATGCACAGAGGAAGGAGGGGGGGAAAAAAGAGGGTCGGCTGAGGAGTGGGAAGGGAGAAAAAAAAAAGAGTGAAGCTCGGAGGGTGAAAGGACAGAGAGGGCTGATGTAAAAGGAGAAGAAGACGAGGAGGAGGAAGAGAAGAGGAGGTGTGCTGGTATCGATTCTCTGGCCAGCCAGCAGTTCAATACCACTGAATTATTGCTTCATTCTTCCCCTTATGAGATGAGATCTCTTTCTCTCTGTGACTTTCTGCGTTTGTATATGTGTGAATGTACATGTGTGTATCTGCATGTGTGTATCAGTATATGTGTGATCCACTTATGAGTGGATCAATACTTTACAATCTAGTTTTAAAAGTCCAGCTTGCTCTCTGTCTCTCTTGTTTTTATGTGTGCGTCTCGCTTTCTGTTTTCGCTCTCTTCCTTTATATTTCAATCTCTTTCTCTGTCTTTTTGTGCCTGCAAAATAAAAGTTCAATTCTTCGTAAAAGAGAAAAAACAAAACAAAACAAGAACACAAAATGTCGTGAATTTTCAGCTAAAAGTTTCATCTCCACACCTGTGCTTTGGATTCTCACCAGATCTATATAAATGTGTGTGCACATGTGTGTTCATGATGCCAGTGTGTGTGTGTGTGTGTGTGTGTGTGTGTGTGTGTGTGTGTGTGTGTGTAAGCAGTTATTGATTGTCACTTTGTACCATTGTGTGTTTATAGGAGTGTGTGATGTCGAGAATGTTAATTTTTCCCATCAGGCAGATGAAGCAGACATACGGCACCATGTGTATTTGTGTATATGAAGTGTGTGTGTTTGTGTGTGTGTCCGTGTGTGTGTGTACGTATGTGGTAGACCATCTGTTTACCAGACTACTCACCATCTTTCCCTCATATCACTCTGATTTACAATTACTTTCAACTCCTGCCCCTGTTTGAAAGTGTGTGTGGTAAGTTGTGTAAGACATGACCCTATGCAAGTGTGGCTTTGTGCGTGTTCACGTGTGTGTGTTGTTGCATGTGCGCGCCCGTGCGCATGTTTAATTGCTCGCTCCTTACACCCAGAGGCAACCACAGCTAAGGCATTGAAAAACCGCAACAGCCAATCAGCGCTCACCGCTGTGACCTTTCACCAGTGACTTCCAGGGAGAAGCCAACCTTGAGGCGGGGTCAGGCAACCGCAGTAACAGATCGTGTTTCCTGGGTCACATGTTGAAGCGATCAGCCAATCGCGAGGTCACGGGGGGTCATCTCCGCCCAATAAGAGCAGCAGTTAGAAGCCAGACGGACCAATTACCAGCCGGCTAGCCTCGGGGTTTGACCAAAAATGTTTTGACTGAAGCGCATTGAAGCAGGCACACAAACCGAATACCTTCGTCTGTACAAAGAAACTACCATTCAAAGACAGCATTTACCACAACTCACACAGCCAAAAGAACATCTCGGCCTTGTGCTAACAGTTTGTACAGTCTTGTGTTAACTGCAGTTTCCAGAAAACACTTGGCAAGCAACACAGCAGTCCCCTACCCACATTTTATATTGTGGAATGAGTTCCAGTAGATGCAACTATAGACCTTTTCTCTTACAATACAGTAAATAATATCATATCATATCATTCTCTTCATGCAACATTTTGTCTCGTTTTCTAGAAATACATATTGAGCTTTTTATAGCTGAAGTTTCTACATGTATTAACCCTCAGAATTCCCACAAAAAATAGCCAAAATCATTTTTCAGAGCCAGAAACTGTAAAGATTTATTCTACACATCTCATTTAAAAGTTTGTCAAATATGACCTCTAACCACTTTCTGTAAAAGACAAAACATTCTGCACTCGTCAGCACAACTCTGAAGCCGTGTTTTACTCAACTGCAACCAACTGCAGGAAGGTGATAAAATGTTTGCAATCTTTTACCCAAACTCAGCTGAACTGCAGGCTGTGTTTCCGCAGAGCAGAAGAAGTATGGAAGCAAATCAAAAATATAAGTTGTAAAATGTATGTATAGTATGCAGAGCCACTACATATTGCAGTCATATTGCACATAAGACATTTTTTGAGATCTTCTCCTTCCAGCTATGGTTGTGCTGTTTCCATAGAGGTGCAGGACTTAATATTGCAGTGAAAAATGAGCCTACAGTGAGTAAAAACATGACACCCAGAAACTGCTTGGAGTTCAGAAGACTAAACGTACCTTTCCTTTATTCAGAAAGCATTTTTACCATTCTGCATTTTGATCAGAGGATGTTAAAGCTCCCACAAACTTGACACCAACAGTAAAACTGGCAGTTTACACACAGCAAGTTTTTTTCCTCTTCATTGATCAGCTTTAAATCGTCCTCGTTATCTTTGGTTACGTCTCCGATAGTTTCTACAGCAGTTCATTCTTTTCCCTGTCATCATGACGTCATCGTCATGGTGTGATGGAGCCATGTTGAGCGGATCAATACCAGACATCACATCACCTCCATCCATTTCCACATGTATGCGTGAGCTAAATGAGCAAACACACACGTGCTTTCTCCTTTTTCTTTCTTCTCCGTTTCCACCTCTGCCCAACTTCGCAGGAAAACGCTCATTCACAGTCAACAAGGAATCACACACTCAACATTGCATGTGTTTGCGTGTGTGTTTGGCGAGTGTGTGTGTGTGTTGGTAAACTGGGTGTTCTGGATGATTTCACTAATAGTTTCAGTATGGAGGGCCATAAAGAGCAGACTGTTTAATTGTAGCTGCTTTTAACGAGCCTCTGATTATGGCAACATTCTAACGAGTGTGGGTCGTTAATGTTGACTAATCTACAGTCATTAGTTCAACACTGTCTGGCCTGAGAGTGAACTGCAGCTTATAGATGCTATTCACACACACACACACACATGCACACACAGTCTCCCTCTCTGACACATGCACAGATGCTCATATACACAAACACACATTTCTAAAGACCAGGGAAGAAAAATGACACCACAAAATAACGACAATACTTGAATCAAGAACATGTACATGTGTGTTTGTGGGGAACCTACCTGTGTATATGAACCGTCCCGGTGTGCCTTTGCAGAACTGTTTGGATTTGTAAGACAGAGTGACCTCTACGACCCCTGGGATGTGTCTGGGAGGCGTCTGCACCCGGATGGCATGCGGCGTAATCAGCTAGAAAATTAAGGAAAAAGGGGACCAAGAGTCACCCAGAGGAAACAAAACAATAGGACAGAACAACGTCTTAAGTGTGTTAATTTTGAGCTGCCTGGTTATCTTAAAACTGCAGCAAACAACCAAAGAACTGCTTATTTCTTCAGAATCTAATAATCCTGGATCCAGTTCTGGCTATTGCTGTGCATTAGTCTGTGTGTGTGTTAAAGTATGTTTATGGGAGCTTTCTGGCTAGAAGTTTGCTGTAAAGTTTATTTTAGTTTGTGAGCTGGAGGTACATTACATTTGCACTTGTTAATGTGGTGAAATGCATCTCTAACTGACCCGTATTTACATTTGGTTCAATTTTGCATCAGCTGGAATGCAATGTGTGCAGCAGCAAATATCGCTTCCTTTTTTTCTTTTCGCAAATATTTAAAAGGAGATACGCTTATAATCAGTGTTGAATGTGTTTGTAATCTTGTATGTGGAAAGATATTAGATGAAGTCCTGTAAAACGGCATTAAAGGAATGACTGGCGCTTTATTTCTCACTTTGAATATGTTGTTTGACTTATTACCGTGTCCAACTGTGACCAGAAGTTTAGCATGCCACGAAAAAACAAACTAACAAACTATCATGAATAAAATCTGATTTCCTTGCATCTGTGTTGATACTAAATGGAAACAAAATCAACGTTTTGAGCTGTATGTGACAAAAACTAACCATTTGTCACTTTTTTAATGGATGATTTTCAGAAATAGTTCTCACTATTGGCCCAGGTTTGTGAAAAATCCGCACGCAGGTGGGAGAGATGCACACAAACAGAAATTGGCAAACATGCAATCACTTTTCCACAGACACACTTTTTCAAACAGCGTTTTCTTGCTTCGGAATCAATAATCAGGTTGAGTGCAAATGAAACATTTGGTTGGCCGGAATCCATTCGCAGCCAGTCTGAGCAACGCCAGGAGAGCTGAGTCAGTTTGAACTGAACTGAACTGAGACTCTGTACACATGTTAGTGTGTGTAAGTGCGGCTCTCAACACTGTAAACAAACCCCTCAGCTCTTAACACGCACACACACACCCATCCACGTATGCCAGCGTGTACACACACACACTCACACACACACACACACACAGACACTGTTGTTGTTGGAAAGGAGCCATGGTCGCTCTGCACACACGGTGAGTGGAGTCAGAAGACAAATAAACATTCTGTAGAGGAGTGGAACTGGGGAAAAGTATGATAGTAAGCTGTGTGTGTGTGTTTTTGTGAGCATTAAGCCGATGGCTATCAAAACCCGCTGATTTGATCAGTATTCCAGGGAGAAGGAGACAGAGGGAGTGTGGGTGAGGAAGGTGGAGAGCGGGGCGGCGGTCACTAGTTGGTGGGGACTCATTAGAGACGCAAACCTCATTTAGACAAACATTAACGCACACAAACATGCACTCGATCACACACAGTTAAGAGCCTGACCGTGAAGGAAAGTATGTTTTCATATTGAATTACTTCCAACGGTCCGAGGGCAGAAACACACAGTTGAGGGGTTGAAACAACATCGAGGGGAGGATGACTGCTGGTAAACTGACCTCGCTCCAAACCAGCATGGTACCGAAGATAACTTGGAGACCGTCGAAGAAGTTGTCTCCTATGATGATGACTGTGGCACCCCCCGTGGTCCACCCCTCGCTGGGACTGATGGCTTTAATACAGGGAGCTGCTCCTACAGGGAATTGATGGGGGGGAAGATTACAGCCAAGAGAGGAGAGGAAGAAAAAAAAAAGAGGGGTAAAACAATTATTACCAGATTGTTGGCATTCAGGATGCATCTGAAATAAATAGCTGTTGAATAAAACCCAACATTCGCTCGTGACATGCGAAATTTTATTCGACAAGTCACGGCTATAGAAAAGCGTTTCTTCCCTTTAAACAAGCGATCCATCTCTAAACAGGGAGGGAAATCTGGCTTGAAGCATTTTCATCCCTGTTGCATCTGCACCTCATAATTCTTCATGCTACACCCTTGGATTCTGGCTGCGTTCCAGATCATCACACTACACTTTTACACTGAATACGCTGCCGATTCCAAGTCTTTTTCAATTGGTCCTTGACAAGAAAGATTTCTCCTTGTAAATTATTCTAAAATGAGAAGATAAACCTCGGAAAGAAGTGCTGAAGTTTTATGTTGTGTGACTTTTCAAACACTTGGATGCATATTGACACCCAGAAAGAATAGATTGTGGAACTTTTACCACTTAAACTAAAAATCCTGTGTTTTGTCAATGTTGGATGCAGTGTGGTTTAAAAGAATCAATCTGACAGATCCTGCATAGCTTATTTACTTCTTGTATATCCGAAAGCTTGACTGATATGAGATTAGCATTGTTCACTTTTTAAACTAATGATATGACACTGATAAAAACACGCACAGACGCTTTCGTTTGCATCATATTGCTTCAAACCAAATGGATATAGTCGGCTTATGCCACTTCAATGTTGAGTATTGTGTGTTTAAACTCATCCCATATCATAACAATAAAAAGCCTGTCTGTCAAAAATCAGCTTTCACTGCACAGTGTGTGTATGTGTGCGATTATCAGTATTCAGCTGAATTACAACAACACTCCTTAGTCTGGGTGTGTTTATGAAAAAAAAACGTAATGATATTAGGCCCGGCAACACACACACAGAGCACCACGCCATGCATTGTGTGTGTAGTGGGTTGGATTAGCCAGATGGAGGGGCAGGAATCACCTGATAGGATTAAACCATCAACCATCTGGTGGCCATGCTGCTTACGCTCACACACACATGCACGGACACACAAACACACACTCGAGCACAGACAGCCCTGTGTACCGTGTTCTAGGTAAGACGGCGTTCCTTCTACAGGGTCGAGCCTGCGGGCCCGTCGGCCATGTTTGGAGTTGTTGTGGACAAACATGTTGTCGGAGACTGACAGGACGTGTCCCTCCACGCTCACCGTAGTCGACACCACCACCTGGAGGGACGCAGGGGGAGAGAGCGGGAGAAACATGGGCGGAGGGAGCGGAAAATGAGTAGCCAGGAGGGGGAAAAAAGAGGTGAAAATCAGTGGGAATGTGAAAGGAGGGAGAGAGGAAGAAGGGACAAGCAGTGGAAGGGTGAAGGAAGGGGGGGAAGGAAAAAAAAAAGGAAAGCAAAAATGAGGAATTACAACGTTGGGGGGTCATGAGATCATTGCAAGGAGGAGTTAAAAGCGTGAAACTGTGAAAAGCTCTTTAAATGTAACGCGTTATCACTGCTATTACCATCACCCTCAACACACACTAAGTCACTGTGACTGCACGGTGTGTGTGCACACGTGCGTGTGTGTGTGTGTGTGTGTGTGTGTGTGTGGTGTCTGTCCTCCTCTGTTCAATAGTTCCTGATGGGTCCGGCCCTTAATTATCTCCCAGGGAAACAGAGCTGTCTTTTCTGGTTCCAGTACAATAGAGCTGCACAATTAGAGGCACAGATACCGTCACATACTTGCTACTGTATGATTCTCTCCGTCCTGTCTCTCTCTCTCGCTCACACAGACACACAAAAATGTGCACACAAGCTGAAACACACACGTATCACACGCACACTTACACACAAGTGCCACGGTAATAAATCTATCAGTATCTTTTGGGCGTCCAGTATCTCTACACTGCCTCAAGTGATGTCTTCCTGATTGTGTTGCGGCCGTGCAGATAAGGAAATAATAATAACCGCACTGCCTTAAATCTTATTCACAGCCACTCAGTCATCTTTTCTTTCTTTCTTTCTTTCTTTTTCTTTCTTTCTTTCTTTCTTTCTTTCTTTCTTTCTTTCTCTGCCTCCCTACATTGTGTGTATATTTATGTTCAGACAAGTCGGGGTCAGGATCTCATGTTTCCTGTAAAGGCGCTGATAGCTTATTTGCTTACACACATAAACACTCATGCACATCCACATTCCTATGTTTATGTGTTGCACAAACCATAAACTTATGTGTATTATTATGTGTTATGTCCACAGGAGACAAAAGGAAAACTGAGAAAAAGACAAAGAAGCAACACAGCACAAAAAAAAAAAGAAGAAACAATTGACAAGAGTGGGGAAAAAAAATCAGGCGGTTTGTACCTGGAACCTCCTCATGTCTCGTGGGTTTCCTGCATTCTTTAAGCAGTTCTGGTTGCACTTGAGGAAAAACTTGAGGAAAAATCTGTGGAGACAAAGAGGAAAAAGGCCATATTTGAGGTTAACAGTTTTAACAATAGACCAGAGCGAAGACTGCTTCCTTCCAAAATATGAGTTCGAGCCCAGTCTCCGACACGCAGCACAGACAGATCCTCCAAAACAGATAGAGAAATTAATATTTCATACTGTTTGAAAGTCAAAATGAATTTCCTTGTGGAATTTGCTCGCAGATATGAGGAACAACCCTTTTTGTTCTTAAATCCACAGCAGCTGCTTTGAAATGCCACATAAAGACTTTGGATGAACATATAAGAAGTGCTGCGGCACACTCCAGCAAAGATGGAGAAAATATGTGACTGTGAGCCAGTTTAAGTTTGAGAAAATCTAGGTTTGACCTTCAATTTTATACTTTTGTGAATCCAAACTTCGCCACACTTCCACACTGACATCTACACACCTTTTTTTTTTCAACCCAAAGAATAGGTTAACCTGTTCTCATCTTTCCTGCAGTCTTTGTTGAAAAGGATTTTAATATTATTAGTTTGCAACATGTAAAGGTCTTTTGTATCTGTATTATTGTTCTGTGTAAAACAGTGAAGTGCAACACAGTCAAAGCCATGAAAGCAGATTTTGAAGTCTTCGCTGTGCAGGTGATTTCTTTGTGCTAACCCTGATGTCAAGTCATTAAAAAAGGCGAACTATGTTGACATTAGGTGTTTGAAACGAGACCATATGTCATGAATCTATATTACAGAATAAATCAAACACACAGATGGCCATCAACGGCAAACAAACACATCCAGGTTGTGTTTTGGTGTGAGCCAGCTGGCCAGCCTGGCAGAAGCAACAAGGCACGCTTGCAAAAAAACACAAACACACACATGTTCATGTTTGCATGTACAACTGTGTTCAACAAAAGCAATGTAACATAGCACAACATCATATGCAAGTAATCTTTCCTGTACACTGCACTTGTACAAAACCTTTGGCTTCTGTCTTTCACTTACTGTCAGTGATATTATGTGGTAATAAACAGCTGTATTTTGTCTTTGTTCAATTTATTTCCGCACATCTTTACAGAACCAAACCATTTATAGCATGAAATCATAGATTAAAAACATAAAGCACCACTAGTCAGTTGCAATGCAGTCCAATCCAGTATTTTTCCAACAACCCTACCTACTAGTCAAAGCTCAATTTAATGTGTTTTAATTGGACTCTTTACACGAATTCTAATCAGTAACAATGGATCCACAAACTGCAGCCCTCCAGTAAAAAAAAATGGAGTTGAAACAACATGTCTCTGTGCAACATAAATTAATAATAGAAGCCCCATTATAATATCAAGATCGCAGCATTATTGCATTATCTGGATTTCCTGAAATTGTGTCCACTTATGTGCTTTTCACAAGTCATCTCCACTCCCTCGTGGATGGTGCTCTACTGGTTAAGATATGACAGCCGCTGTACTGGACCACCAGAACAAAGCGAGAGGTGTGTGTTCATGTGTGTGTGCAAACATGCTCTCCACATGTGAGTGTGTGTGTGTGTGACGGTGCAGCACAGCCCAGTGGCAGGTCTGAGTGTAAAACTCTGCATTAACGAGCTCAGCCTTCGTTAGAACACCGGCGCTGGGATTCTGCATGCCTAATTATGTTGACCCCTCACCCCCGGGTGACAGCCTATCACAGCGGAGGACAGCCACGGTGACCCTTGCTGACCTCCCACTGTCTAGTCCTCCTCACAACACTAGCATAGCGTTAACACGAGCACCTCAGCTGACCCGCCGTTGTAGATCTCTGTGTAAAGGAGGTGATTTGGAGGCTCAAACACTTCCCCGCTCATCTGCCTGATGTATGAAAAGACCAAAGCAGCGGTAGAGGAAGTGTTCATCTCTATTAGTGATTCTCTAATGTAACTAAAAGTCCTGTATTTGACTGAGTAAAAATGACTTAAATCGAATTTGTACTCAATGTGAGAAGAAAAAAAAATGCTTTCAGAGTGTTAAAGTTACACCATTTATTAATTTAGCTGTAAATTAAACTTTGTAACACAGTAAGTGAAATAAAATTTGCATGTGAAACGTAATGGAGTGTTAGTGTGAAGCATGAAGTATAAAGAGGGACAAAATATACTACTGAAAAACACAAAAACCTCTAAATGTACCCAAGCTACTATATCATTGCAATGACAGGATATTAACTCATAATTTCATTGTCGGCTGCATACTTGCTGCTGCTGACTCAGTTTTTAGTGCCGCAGCATTACGTGGTATCGGGTTACCTTACATTTAAACAGAGTTCCACACAGTGAGATGTAGAGATTTTAATCTGTGGAAAATAGAGACCACTGGGTACTTGGTATCCATCCAAGGTGTCAGAATCAGTACTGGAAAAGAAAACGTTGGATTGTAGAATCCCTATAATCAACATCTATCATCAAAATGCTTTGTGCATCCTTCAAACCCTAAACTGAACAGATTTCCTTCCTTCCATACTAGACATTAGTTATGAGTTAGTGAGGTATGTTTGGTCAAGAGTCAGAGTTTTCTACATCATGAAGGTGCTCTCTTTTAACCTGCTACATCACCATGGTAACTGATGCTGCACAGCTAACTTGGTCAAGGCGAGGTTATGTCCAGAGTTCGAATGATGATATTCTCTTTGAGCGATATAAGTTTTCAGCGAAGAAATGCATTATTTCTGTGAGAAAGTAGACAACCACTGTTGTGATATTCATTATGTCTGATTAAGGCTTTAGGTTTTGTCAAACCAGCTAACACAAAGGAAGCCTGGCTTTGTCAAACTTGCTGTGTAGTAAACTCCTCTGGTATTCCTGGATGTCCCGTCATAATACAATTGTAACATCCTCATCTTGAATATTTTAAAACAGTTAAGTGCGAATTAGCTTGTGAGCTTCTTCTGCGCCTCTTTTACGACACTTTGCTGCCTTTTGCAGCTCACTTCTGCCCCCTGCTGTTACTGCAACTTGTACACTGTAGAAAAGTACATTTGAGCCGTAGTTGAGGTGAATTACTTTTTTGAATAAATGGTATTTAGCCCTCTGGTTTGGTGAAAGCAGGTATCCTGGGTTTTATCAACTTGGTGTTACACTTTGTCCTGGTAAATAGATATTCAAATTTAAGTGAAAGTGTATCACAAACCTGATGCACACATTTCTACAGATTTTTCTGCTACCACTCAACCACTGTGTTTTTAATGCAGGATTACAGAATAAAGACAAGGACGGAAAGTCTAATGCTAAAATTGTATTTACATTCTACATTTCGGTAAAGCTAAAACGAAAAAGTTGACTTTCCTTAAAATTAAGTTGCAGCGATGCAAACGGTTCATTTGAGAAGAACATAATGATTTAAGTACATCTAAGTTAAACCATTAAACCAGTGACAGCAATATGACTTGTTAGCTTAATGTGGATTAACTTAATTCATTTACCAATCCATCTAAGTTGGTCCCACAGTCCTTTTTCAGTGTATCTTGTATTCAATTAAAAATTCCTTTGCAGCACTACTAGCACTTGATGACTCCACTGGGCACCTTTATGTGAATTACCCTGAAAAAAATGCACTTCTTTCATTTCTATTTCTGCTCTGTGGTTACTGTAACACTATTTCTGCTGCCTCCAAAGTTAAATGCTCTCATCTCTACTGCTGCACCACTGTAAAAGGGATATGACTTGAGACATCACCTTAATAATCACCACAATCAGTTCAATAATATCAATTTCCCCTCTCAGCGTATCCACAAACCAAATAACTCTGTCTATCATTGGCTTAATTTATTGGTGATCTCATTATTTTTCATATTTCCATCTACCGCTGCGCTCCGTCCGTCTTTTTCCTGGGAGACTGTTTTCTCTCATTGATTGCCAAAAGTACATATTCTACATTTTAATGCAGTATGTGAGCGTCCCTCTTCCCCCTTCACTTGACCCCATCTGGCCTAATCAACTCTGCTACACAAAGGCCCTGCAGCGACGCACACACACACACAGGCACACACTCACAGACACCTTGTGTGAATTGATTGGCTGGTCCAGTCGCTGGTCGTTAAGAGGCCTCCAATTAAACTGGGCAATTATAAGAGTCTGAATGATGGTGGGGGAGGGGAGCTCTCTCTCTTTTTCTCTCTCTCCCCCCCGCCTCCCTCCTCTACCTCACTCGAGGCCCGATCATGTTCAAGTGATAACGGCGCTGTTGACCTTTGCTATATTGTGAGTACCGCACTCAGAGAGCTGACCTCACATCGGTCCTGCCTGCTGCAAACACACACACACACATACACACACACCCCATCTGTTCAGGGAAGTGTTAGAGTCGTGGTGAGCAGCAGAGATTAAAAATTTAAGAAGAATGATAATAATGTTTGAAGACAAGATTATTACTGTCTTTTGAGCGCTTGTCATTTTTTTTCAGATTCATTTTTAGTATGTTGCCTTCATTAGATAGTGTTGATATAAAACATGGGTTATTACATGTGGAGAGAGTCTCCTGCCAGGAACTGAACCAGGGACATTTCACTTGCCACATGCTTATCATTTTTACTTTCTGTGCTTTTTAGAATTTCCATATCTAGTAGCAGCAGTGTGATTAAAGGAGAGCTTGCAGTTGAGCTTAAGTTTAATGAAGTTATACTTTTATCAAAGTGAAAAAAGCATTAGGGTTAGGGCTAGGGTTAGGGTTAGGCAAAGATGGGGGGTAATAGTTAAAACATTAAATACACATCAGTGACTATTCTTCTGAACCCCGAAACCCACTGGCAGGTTTTAAAAGTATGTTGTCTTCACAGAAAAAAAAAAGTCAAAATTACACCAGTTATCTGAGCCAGAAATGGTAAAAACAGGATTTTCAACCTTCAGCCGTTCCATGAAGTACTCATCTGTGATGTGCAGTTTTGTCAGAAAAATGACCAAATCAAATCCTAAAAATTGTGATATTTCATCAAAATCGCTCAATTCTACATGTCTTGTTTAAAAAAGTAAAACAAACAAACAAACACACAAACA